AGGACGCACAGGCGCTCGGCTACCTGCATCTGTCCTGTGAACTGCCCATCAAGCAGTTGCTCAGGAATTGCCAGACCACTCTCGCCGCCGTGCAGCTCTTACAGCGACAGTTGTGTTCTGCATCCCAGGCCCGGCTGAGCCTGTTGGAGCCGCAGAAGCAGCTGAGCATGCGCGATGGGAAGACAACCACTGACTTCGTTCAGCAGGCAGAGCAGCTCTGTAGCAATATAATTGTGGCCGGCGGCCAGTGGGACGAGAGCACGATGCACCACGCCATTCTCCATGGCCTGCCTCCGCAGTGCACCATCACCATCGAGTTCACAATGTATCAGCCCAACATAACGAACCCACAGCTCGTGCTCATGCTGCATGAGAAGGAGAACAACCTTAAGACCCAAGCAAGCAAGACAAGCCTGGTGGGAGCTGTCGGCCCTGGCCGTGCTGCCAGTGGAATCGGCAGCACCGCTGGTGCTGCAGGCACCGTGGGGGCCGGCGACACCTGTCATTACTGCAGACAGCCTGGTCACTATGTTCACGAGTGTCCCGTTAAGCAGGTGGACGAGTCCGTCGGCCTTCACCGCAGCAACACATTCGAGCAGCTGCACGCCGCCGGCAACATCAGTTGAGGCAGCTGCAACCGCCACCGTGACGGTGGCGGCAGGGGCACTGGCAGCGGCAATGGCGGTAACAGCAGGGCCGACGGAGCATGTGAATGTGGCCGTGCTCGATGCGGCAACAGCCACCGTGGTGACACTGCAGGCGGCATCAGTGGCAGCGGCTCGGGCAGCAGCAGAAGCAGCTCACACCAGAGCCGTGCCCCAGTGCTGGTCATCGACCGCAGTGGAAGCAGCTCACGAGTCACCCTCGTCTCAGGCTCACCATACCACCTCACGGGTGACCGCTCCCTGCTGCACAACCATGTCCCCGCCGGCGCGCCACGGCTAATCGGGTGGGGCAACATGTCATGGGAACAGGGAAGCTGCACCTGCATACTCGTGATGGACACAATGTCCGGCTGCATGTCTCCAGCTCAGGCCTCACCCTGACATCTGTCAACCTCGTGAGAGGTCGACAGACCTCATGACACGCGGCTACTCGGTCATGTTCAGCATGGACAAGACGGGCTTCTGGTTCTCATGCATCAGCCTCCTGCACAACAGCCCGTCTATAACCACATGGAGTGAGCATG